GAGTCACTGGGGCAACTGATGGCATCTCTGCAAGTGGGTTTGTGAAAATTGTTCCAAGTTTTAGTGTAAACCTGTCCAAAGAGCTGAATCTATTTTGGGGACAGAGCTTACCACCCTGGATAGTTCCTTTAAAAGTCTGACTAAAATACAAAGTGGGATTTACTACCCCACTGGAATCAGCCACCAGGGATGAAACCCATGGTACAGTCCTCCCCAAAGGTTTGAATCTTGACTATGGATAGCATAGATGGCTAAAAAGGCAAATAAGTGGGTCTTAAAGCAAATCAAGCCTGAACTCTCATGAAAACTGAAGATAACTAAACCAGGGCTGTTGTACTTTGGATGTACTATGAGCCGACTTGATTCACTGGAGAAGACAATGAAGCGTGGTAAAGTGCAAGACAGTGGGGGAAAAGAGAGATAGCATTACAGGTGCACTGATTCAATCTATGAAGTCATGGGCCTAAATTTTCAAGACCTGGGCAGTTAATTGATCATGTGGACTCTTGGAGACCTTCTGTAGTTACACTAAGCTCATTTCCAGTAAGTCACATTTTGTCACAATACAGACAAAGTACAATAGCCTCAGGTTAGTTATTTTCACTTTTAGTGAGAGTTCAAGTTTGATTTGCTCTAAGACCCACATATTTGCCTTTTTAGCCATTCAAGGAGGTATCCACAGAACTCTCCTCTAGCACCGTATTTCAAATGAGTTGATTTTCTTCCTGTCAGCTTTCTTCACTGTCCACACACAGCCACACATACAACTGGAATCATCCTGACTTTGGTATTAAATCGTTATGTCTTTACATTTGAGGATTTTGTCTGGTTCTTTCATGGCTGCCTTTCAAAGTCTGTCTTCTTCTGGTTTCTTGAGTATGGTCTCCATTTAGGTTAATAACTGAGCCAAGTTATAAGAAATCTTCAATTACTTCAATATCTTCATTACTCATTTTAGAGTTATGTAAATCATCTGTTGTCTTCTGAATATTTAACAGTAGCCCTGCTTTTGCACTTTCTTCCTGAATTTTCATGAGTAGTTGTTCCAAATCTTTGCTATTTTCTGCACGTAATATGGTGTTATCAGCATATCTTAAATAGTTGATGTCAAATACCAATTATATTACAATGTATTTATTCATATTCAACTGTTTATGTATTTGGGACACTTTTACAAAAACAATCCACTAAGTTGTTTAAAAACAAAGCAAAACATAATACATTTGTCCTTCCAAATTCACTGGGGTTAGAGGCATAGGACCCCCGGGAAAGTGGAAAACCCGCAAATAACAAAAACATTATGTTTTTACCTGAGATAATACCTCTCTAGGAATCTCTAGGTCTTCCAGTGCTACTCTGTGGTCAACATCTGCCAGACATTGACCATAGAATTGCACTGGAGGAGCTACAAATGCCTAGTGCAGTCTTCTCTCTAGGAATATCTAGGTCTTTCAGTGCAACTTATTAAAGTTAACCATAGAGTTGCACTGGAGGACCTAGATATTCCTAGAGAGAACATATTAATAAAATCCATGAATAATCAAATCTGCAAAAGTCAAAGCCACAAATGTGAAGGGACAAGTGTATAAACGTCTACAAGAATCACGTCCAACAATTAAAATGTTAAAATACATATTTAAGCATTCAATTTTTCTCTTAAAAAAAGGAAAAAACATCAGCATGAGAAACTAAACTCTAAATTGCCAAAATTAATCCAAGATTTTAAAATGATTTAAATCTTTTTACCATTTTTTAAAGTCTTATAAACTCACTTGAAAATTTACATGGGGCACCAACTATATATCTAAGGGCCTAAGCAGATGGGCGGCCGTGGGCCGCCCTGGGAAGGTGCGCCGCGGGACCGAGGCATCCCCATGCCTCGATCTTGCGGCACACCGTCGTCGCCCCTGGAAAGGAGCGCTAAAATAGCGCTCCTTTCATATGTCGCCGAAAGTGTGCTGCAAAAGGTTGCGGCGCACTTTCGGCGACTTTTCCGCCGCAGCGTGTCCGGATGCTGCGGCAGGAGGTCCTCCTCGGAGCGCTGGCCATGCGGAGGGCCGGTGGCTCCGAGGACGACCTCGGGAGGGGGAGGGTGCACCGAGCGTGCAGCTGCCCCTCCCCTTCCCTGCGCTGAAGACGGCCCAATAAGCCATCTGCTTAGGCCCTAAGAGAGTTGTGGATCTAGATATTACTGTATTATTTCCCAGAGACTCAACTAAATGGCGCATTCATGGCTGTGAAAATATGTTTCCAGTAAGACTACACTGATAGTCAATGTGATGCAATGGTTTGAATGTTGGACTACAACACTGGGAGCCCAGGATTTGAACCTCCTTCAACCAGGGAAGCCTACTTGGTGTCCTCAGACAAATGACAGCCTCAGAGGAAGTCAAAGGCAAGCCCCGTCTTACCAAATCTTGACCAAAAAAACCCAATATAGGTTCAATATTGGTTCATTATGGTAGCCACAAGTTGGAGATGTCTTGAAGGTATACAACAACCACAAAGACTACATTACTGATAACTTCCCTCCTACCTTCAGGCATGGAAGCTTTCAAAGGGATCAAACTTGTGTTTTCAACATTATAATCCTTGATGTACACACATGCTAAAGTTCCAGTATTGCAGTGTTCCTCAGGTTGCTTCCTACACCATACCCGGAGGGGGATGAAACTGTCAACAATGGATAAGCAGATTAAATGTCCAGATCTGCTATGCTGACGTAGAAAACCACCAGGAAATAAATAAGAACTTCTCCACTCTGCTCTACTCCAGAAAAAAAGGATTTCCTGTACTTCAAGTTTGGGGTTACTAAAAATATTTGTAAAGAGGAAATTCCTGTGTTAATGTGTACTTTTGACATATTTAAGTCAGAGTATGGAAGGACAGGTAAAACAGAGGGGGAAATGGAGGCTCACCTGTTCTTTCTCACAGTGAGCTATCTTGTTAAGGAGAAAACTGAGTGGGTTTGGAGTATAAAGGCCATAACAAACTGTGCTAATTCTGTTCCTGGATGTGGCATATCCAAGAATGAAGACTGACTTAATGCTGAACAAATTGGCCCAGTTTTGTACATCTATACACCACTCTGAACATCTGGCTACCTTAATTGCAACAGATGGTTGGACACAAGAGCTGTGAATTTCAACCTGGCAAACCATTAATTTCTTGTCAATATTTACACATTCTTTTAAACAATGAAACCATTACAAAGTGGCGGCAATTTGCACTTACGAGAACTGGAGATTGTACCTATTACCAAGGAGCATGCATCCAGTTTATCCTCATTAATTCCAAGTTAAATGGATGAGGTACTTCATCATAATATTTATTCCCTATGAAGAAGGAATGTTTGGTACACAGCAGCTTCCTCCCTCTTCTTTTTTCATTAAGAAATAATTAGACTATTAGATTTTATTTATTTTTTTCAAAATTGCCTGGCGTCGGATTTTACCAAATCACTGCAGCATTATAAATCTTTATTAGCACTAATCAAGTCCTAGCAACTATCTACACTTCTTTATTAATATATCTATTCAAACTGAGAAGCCAGAGAGCCCTTAAGGGACACAACCTGGCTTGTCCATGATAGAAAAACTGTTTTTGTAACTACATTCTCTCCACATTCTAGCACCCTCAAGAATCAGTTAAGTTTGAGGACAATACATCTTAAAGGAAAACATTATCTTCAGCCAATGGGCTGAGGAAAAGAAGTATCACCTAGCTGTAAGCTAAATACTTCCCTTACACTAGAAAAGCCCTGTGTTTTCCCCCTTGCCCTGGTTTTTCCTGTTTTCTTTCTTTTCCTAAACCCAATTTTCCCTCAGGCCAACTCAGCCTTCCCTCAGGTTCCTTTCTCTCAGGCTCTATTCCCTAACTCTTTGCTTCCTTCTCCGTCTCATTCAGTTTCTCAGGCCTAACCCTCTCACCTGCCTATACCATCCTCTTCCTGTGACACATCATACTCTCCAACTGTCCTAATATGCCAGAGATGCTACCAATTAATCCTCTGTTGTCTCACTTTTTCAGCTGTTTTGAAAATGTCCCAGTTTCCCTCTCCTCCTCCCAGTTTCCCCCTTTGTCCTCAATTTAGTGAGTTCAAAGTGTAAATGCATTCAATTAAAACAGAAGGAAAGACGAGAGGGCAAAATCCTGGCCTTCCCAGTAAACTCAGGCAAAAGCAAACAGCTGCAGCCTCTCCTAGCTCATTCTTCCTCATTAATAAGTTTTGATGTCTTAACCTCACTTTAATGTTGCTTGATTTATATGTGAGAGGGGGCCTCGGCAGACGGCTAATTGCGCCGTCTCCGAGGCCCGGAAGAGGAGGAGCCGCCGCACGTTCGGCGGCTCTTCCTCTTCCTGAGGGCGCACCCGGAAGCGCCGGCCGTCCGCACGGCCGGCGACTCCCGGTTGCCCTCACGCCGCGGCAACTGAACGTGCCGCAGCGTTTGAGCCGCCGAAAGTGCGCCCGCCGCTGTTAGGGCGCACTTTCGGCAGAATCTAAAAGGATCGCCATTTTGGCGGTCCTTTTAGATGCGCCGGGGATGTGCCGCCGTCCGGAGGCTGAACTCCGGCGGCGGTCCGGACCAGGGCGTCTCCGACGCCCTCGTCTGCATCCCCCCTTGGTTTTCATCTGTGAAATGTTGGATGGTATGACACATGTGACAGCTAACATGGTGTAGTGCAGGGGTAGGCAACCTAAGGCCCGGGGGCCGGATGCAGCCCCCCGAGGCCTTTGGACCGGCCCCAGGCTGGTCCTGCCGCCACCGCCACCCCCCCCACCATGATGATATTGATTATTGTTGTTATTACTTGTTCTTGGGTTTTTCTTGGCAAAATCTCCACAGGAGTTTTGCCATGGCTTTTCTGGGGCTGAGAGAGTGTGCATGCACATTTTTTTATTATTATTTTATTTTTTTAATTTATTTATTTATTTTTGGTGCTTCGACCCCCCCCAATTAACTGAGGGACAGCAACCCGGCCCCCGGCTCAAAAAGGTTGCCTACCCCTGGTGTAGTGGTTCAAGTGTTGGACTAGAGCTCTAGAGATCAGGGTTCAATTCCCTGTTCGGCCATGGAAACTCATCGGATGACCTTGGGCAAGTCACTCACTCTCAGGCTCAGAAAACCCCTTGATAGGGTCACCTTAGGATCACCATAATTCAGAAATGACTTGAAGGTACACAACAACAACAACGGCACATATGTCTCAACAGACTCAGTGTCTGAATTTAAAAGAGCATTGAAAACTAGACTCCTCCGACAGGATGGTTTTTAAATTGTGAATTTTAAATGACAAATTTTAGTTGTGGATTGTTTTAATATGTGCATATCTTATTAAGCCTTTAAAATGATGTGTGTTTTAACCAATGTGTCTTAACTGATGTTGTTGTTTGTTCATTGTTATTGTCCTCAATCCATGGGGAGAGGTGGGTAAAAAATAAATATATTATATATTATTATATATATTAGTTTTCTTACTATACCCTATGATAATTTTTCTCCCCTGCAAACTAATCTTTCAGCTCACTCACAAAACTTTACCATTTGTAGGGATTCTGGTGACAGCATCTTTATGTCCTGAATATTGGCAACATATCATGACATCGTCACAAACTGGCCAACGAAGAGGGGAAGCAAAAAAGACAGGCAGATTTCTACTCTGAACAACAGTAGTCTGCTGGCCCCTTTTCAGATTATGCACAACCAGCAACTGAGGATATTGTACTGATAACACATGAGATTTAAATCTTGAAAACCATTATAACCCAGCAGAAAGAAAGAAAGTCTGGACTTATCAGCTGAATGGAATGTTGACAGGATCTGCCAGCAACACAACTTGCTGATGTACAGGGACATTAATTCCCTAGGAGTTCCCTATACATACAAAGTGAAACTGCAATGCTCATTAACAAAAACATGCATAAGCCTATGCTTCTCTGTAAAACCGCTCTTACTCTAAAGCAACAAGAATATTATACTGGGTACTTGTCTCTCCATGTTTTCCTTGCAACACAGAACTCCACTTTCCGCTGCTGTTACTTCAGTCCTGTGCAGAACTTGGTGAGGCTACTCTTTTGGCAAAAGCTCCTTGTATCCCCCAGACAATATTGGCAGACAACAAAAGCTGAAATCTAAAAAAGTAACCCCAATTCCATAATTGCTTCAGGTCTTCTAGAGCACTGTGTGATGACTTTTTCAGCAGGAGTCTTACTACAGTAGGCCCTTGGTATCTGCTGGGGTTTGGTTCCAGGACCCCCGTGGATACCAATATTCATGGATGCTCAGGTCTCATTAAATACAGTGGCATAGTAAAATAGTGTCCCTTATATAAAATGACAAAATCAAAGTTTGCTTTTTTGGAATCGATATATTTTTTAAATATTTTCAAGCTGTGCATACTTGAAATAACATGGAATTGCCCACTGTCCTTGCACTTTGAAACATCTACCTTGCTGTGCTTTCTTATAAATATCAAAAGAATGAACTATGGGCACAGAACATGTATGAGATGGCATTGGTTTTTTATGGTCCAATACAGACATAACATTGACTCCTTACCACGATTTACAAACTGGAAGCTTGCCTTAGGCACAAAGGTTCCCTCTTTCTTCCTAATTTTCTATAACACAACCAAGATTCATTGACATGAATTACCCACCCAGATTTCTTTATAGGGAAGAATTATTTGAATTTGTTGTTCCTCTGTGCCTTCAAGTCATTTCCAACTTTTGGAAAAAACCACGGGGTTTTCTTGGCAAAATTTGTTCAGGGGGGGGTTGCCTTTGCTTTCTTCTGAGGCTGAGAGAATATGACTTCCCTAAATTGATCTAGTAGGTCACTTCATCCAGCGCACTAGGCCACGAATCCCATCCCCAAGGACTCCAAATGACCCTTGGATTTAAGTGCTTCTTAGACATCCATTCCTAGATGTGCAAAGGAAAAAGAAGGTGTTCTGCACCCATAAACAATGCAGGCTGCCACAGGAAAGAAACTGCCTTCTCCATGGTGGGCTAAGAAATGCAACAGGCTTCTGGAGAAGGGACAGAGCTCACCTCCCCTCCTTTAATAGCCACCTAGTTTCCTGGTTTGATTGTTAGCTTCCAGGAAGCTAGGTTTAAAAAAAAACTTTGCAAGTTAGTAATTTGTGTGGGCTCATTTTGACCAACATCACAAGGACCCTGCAGTGGACTGTGGAATATCTCCTGCACACAGACATCCTGAAACCCTTGCAGGAACCTGAGTCACACAGAAATGAGGGAATTTGTTATTGCCTTCACCACAACCAGCATCCTCCCATGTACATTGATTTGCTTCTCTTCATTCATGTATATGGGAGATAGTAAAGGGGTATGAGCCAGTGTGGTGTAATGGTTTGAGCATTGGACTACGACTCTGGAGACCAGAATTGACCATGATAATCTACTGGGTGACCTTGGGCAAGTCACATTCTATGAGCAAACCTCCTCTGAACAAATCTTGCCAAGAAGACCCAATGATAGGTTTGCCTTGGGGCCACCGTAAGTCAGAAACAACTAGCATGCAAACAAGAACAACAACAACATAGTGTAATATGGTGGGTAGAGTCTAATCTTGGTCTCCCCTCCTGAACATTCGTAGCTAGCAGGGGAAGCCAGAAAATCTGCTACCACAGGGGTAGCAAATCCACTTTCTCCGTTACTTCCACTCCTCCTGCAGCTACTCCTAGATGAACAAGACCTAGTTGCTGGACACTATTTCCCATAGCTTGGATCAATCATTAATCAGAATAGAGACTGCAGAATAGAGACTTCTAAAAAATCAGAAGAAGACTAGGAATAGGAAGGGCAGCTATGAAAGAAAAGATCCTTAAGTGCAAAGCTATAAACGGAACAGTTAAGCCAGTATATCTCCCAGCACCATGTATGGATAAAAGAGCTGGACAGTGAAGAAAGCAAATAGAAAGAAAATCAACTCATTTGAGATGTGGTGCTGGAGGAGTGTGCTGAGGATACCATGGATGGCCAAAAAGACAAATAAATGGATCCTAGAAGAGATCAAGCCCGAGTTCTCCCTGGAAGCCAAGATTACTAAAGGGAAGCTGTCATATTTTGACTACACCATGAGAAGGCACGACTCATTCGAAAATACTATGATATTGTTTTGGTTAATTTGTGGTTAAATCAGTTTAGCAGCAGCACAGCAACAAGCGTGTCTCCACAGGTATTTGGTAAAAACAAATAGATCTGAGGTCCTGGTAAATAAACAGGATACATAGGTAGGTAAAAAGAAAACTTACCTTATTTTCCTGCGTATAAGACTACTTTTTTACCTGAAAAATCTGTGGCTAAAGTGGGGGGGGTCGTCTTATACGCCGGATATAAGGATAATGAGGATAGAGGTGCTAAAACTCTATATTTTGACTGGAAAAAATGGGGGGTCATCTTATATGCCGAAAAATATGGTACTTTATTGTTACATCTAGGTTCTATAAAAATAACTAATCAGTAGAGAAGACTATGCTTTGGTACAGAGGTCCCTAGATAGCTGACTTCCATGTGTGCACGTAAGAAGAAAAACATCTTTAGGAGCAAAGCCTGGTTTCTGCATCTATGCTTGTTAAGAGCAGGCAAGAAAGTGTGCTACTAAACAAAGAATCATAAAACTTTATTGCCCCAGGAAGAAACCCACAGAAAGAGGAAGGGTATGGGAAGTGACCTCTTCAGACACACTGACCCAGGAGCCGGGGGCTGGGTTGCTGTCCCTCAGACAATTGGGGGGCCGAAGCACCAAAAATAAATAAATAAATAAATAAAACATTTTTTAAAAATTTAAAAATTTTAAAAATATGCATGCACACTCTCTCAGCCCCAAAAAAGCCATGGCAAAACCCCTGTGGAGATTTTGCCAAAAAAAACCCCAAGAACAAGTGATAACAACAATAATCAATATCATCATGGCAGGTGGCGGCGGCGGCAGGACTGGCCTAGGGCCAGTCCAAAGGCCTCAGGGGGCCATATCTGGCCCCCGGGCCTTGGGTTGCCTACCCCTGCCCTGACCAAATGACCATAGAGATATACATCAGTGTTTCTGTGTAAAGACACTGCCCCCTTTCAAAGGAAAGCATAGAACTACACACAAGCATTGATGCTGATACTCCAAGAAAGACAGTAATGCTAGGGAAGGTGGAGGGCAGCAGAAAGAGAGGGAGACCCACATGCCAGTTGGATAGCCTCAGTCAAAGAGGCCATAGCCCTGAGATTGTAGAGCCTGAGCAGAGCAGATGGGGACAGACAGACCCGGATGGTGTTTCATTCAAGGGGTCACCATGAGTCAAAGTCGACTCGTAGGCAGTTAACAACAACTTTGGCATCAGCAGCTCCCATCTATTACCACCATCACCACTCTTTGCTGCTCAGTAAGAGAACTGACCCAGCTTCCATCTCTACAGGCCTCTTTTAGTGTTTTGTCTCTTAGTATCATATAACAGTGTGACAGGATGTTGGGAACTGACCTCTATAGCCCAGATAACAGAAGAACAGAGCCTGCATTCACCCAAACCACATAAGAGAAGAGCAGGAAAAACTACAGTGGAGATGACAGATAACACTCTAGATCAAGATCTGATGCAGTTACTAATATGCAAACTCAAATGACTCAAGTTAAACAGCCTATACTAAACATTACTGTGATGAAAGAAAAAGAGTTACCGGTATTTAAATTTCAGTACGGTCTGGTGATGACTACAACCTCCACCCTTTTACTACAAAGTTATTATGTCCAAAGTAGAGCCATTTACATATACTACCTCTGCTCCCACCCAGCAGTGAAGCCTTCAGTGAACAGAAACCAAAACAGGGGAGTGAGGGGAGGAGAGGGGGGACTGCAAACAAAGGACGGGCTTATTACAACATTATAATGATGTAAGGGGGGGGAATATAGAGAACAAAAGAATACTAAGACAGCAAGCTTAGCAGGAGAGAATGAGGACAGGCAGCACACTGGAATTAGCAGGAAGTTCATTCAAAGAAAGCAAAAAGAAGGGTGTGTGATAAATTAATCCCACTATGCTATGGACATGGAATATTTCTTCTT